AACAGCACATAAACGCGGCTCAGAAGGGAAATCGGTCTGTAGTTCTTCAAGAGAGCGTTGTCACCTTTCTTAAAGAACAAGACACCGCACTTCTGCTCCACGCCCCCGGTGTAATGCCACCATGGAGGACGGAATTAAAGAGCTTCTGACGGACTTCAAGTACCGGTCTTCCACCCGCTTTCAGAAGCTCCGCTGTAATTCTATCCTCGCCTGGGGCCTTACCGTTTTTAAGATACCGGAGAGACATTCTAATCTCGCTCAGACTGACTTCTGGAATATCATCGGAATAGTGTCGGATAAGACTTGCTCTTGGATCGTTACTCACACTTGCGTGTGACTCCAACAATGATGTGTACAACTGCCCATAGAACCTCTCAATCTTACTCAAAATCTCAGGTGTCCCGGAAACGACGCTGCCACACACGGTCTTCAGCTTTGACAGTTGGCTCTTTCTGGCAGACAGATCTCTAGCAAAGACTTTGGAGCCCTGGTTCCGCTCGATCGCTTCTTCATAACGAGCAGTATTAAAGTTGCGTAAGTCCCGCCGCATGCATTTGGAGATCTGTCTGTTCAGTTGCCTGTATGCTGTCAAATCTGTTGAAGAATGTAGCTTCATCTCCCGTCTAACAGCCATGAGATTAAGAGTGTGATTGGAGAGTTTTTGTGTTCTTCTGCGGCGGGTCTTGCAGAACTTAGTTCCGACCGCATGGACAGTTTCCACGAGCTTGTCATTCACATCGTCCACTGCTTTGCAATCTTCTAGGCACTGAAAACGGTTTTGTAGCTCGAGCTGAAAGGTTTCGGGATGAGGATCGAGGGAAGAGCACGAGGGGGACGGAGCATTGACTTCATTATACGTGACCTCTCCAACATAACATTTGGGTTCAGTGTGCCTCTCACCATTCGGTGATCGCTGCCAGTTTTTACCCTCGCAATCACTTTGACATCACTGAACAGTTGTCGTCTGGTCGTCATAATGAAGTCAATCTCATTTTTTGTCGAATCGTCGAGTCTCGACCAGGTCCACTTCCTATGGGGCTGCTTCTGGAAGAAAGAGTTCATCATAAAGAGTCCCTCTTTCTCCATGAAGTCGGCCAGCTGTTGGCCCCTTGGGTTCCGTTGCCCTATTCAAAATTTCGCTACCTTCAACACACCGTTCTCTCTTGTGCCTAATTTTGCGTTGTCTCCCATTAACACCGTATAGTGGGTTTGAAGGAATGCATGGTTTTAGAGATATCCTCATACATTTTTGTGCCGAGGTTGGTGCGTAAACCTGTATCACCTTCAGCGAATACCGTTTGGTGATTCTGAGTATAAGGTACGTAACCCTCGTCGACACACTCTCAATATTTACAATGTTGTTAACGAGAGACTTGTGGACGATAAATCCGACTCTTCTTTGGGACAGATGGTCGCCTTCCCGGTGTAAAAACAAGTTGCCTGATTCGAGGATTACCATGTCCTCCCCCTCTCTTCAGACCTCAATTAATCCTATAATATTCCAGCGCAACTTCTCTATCTCTTCTTCCAGCTCCAGGATCTTCTCGTCAGTCCTCAGGGCGCGTGCGTTATGTTGCCAGGTCGAGTTGTGTTAGGTGGCAACCGAACCTCCACTGGAGATTCTTAGCACCCCCTGCCCCGCCGTTACCATGGTCGCCACCGTAGCCAGGAATAGCTGGGCCGCCGGGGACTTGGGGCCGTCTCTTCGCAACTTTAATCATATTGCCATAGTTGCCACGCTTGGCGATCGGGTTAGCAAACGCAGTTTTTTATTGCTGTTTGACTGTTATCAGAAAGATGCTGCTGTACATCTTCTCCCTCAATTTCCCTCTGTTGCCTCTTACAACACCCACGGGAAGATATGAGGTAGTGGGTATTCTTACCCGCCACTACACATTTACATTAAAATTAAATGTTATTAAACTTTTTGAAAAACTTTTAAACAGTAAAGTAGGTACGTAAAAGAGGTAGACGCATACTTTGTTTATACAAAGTTACCTGTCTAGTAGATTATTTGTAATCATTGGTTTTGAACAAAAATTTATGAGTTGAATTTTAAAAAGTTTCGTACAGTAGTAGCTTTCGAATTTTAAAAGGATTCAACGTAGAAGCTTTTAATTACGTTACCCACATCTACAAAGGCTTTTGTTTTCAAACAAATCGAGCCTTGAATATACCATAACAGCTACAAGTTAATTGTAAGGTAGTTATTCAAGTTGATTTAATATGATGATGAATATGTAACTATAGATAATATTTGACAATTGATAAATTTTTTACTACGCCTGTTTATATTATCTGTATCTATACGGCATGTATTGACTTTGTGTACCGCACTTCTGTTAAACTAGGTGTGACTCTGAATGAATGTATGGTTTGCAAGAAGATGTGGAGACTTAGATTATGAAAGGAATGCTTTGATGTCGATGTGAAAGTCATATGAAAAGAATGAATGAGGAAAGGAATTAGTTACAAAGCAAATTTATGTTTCAGAATTGAATGGTAGAGGGGGACAAGAATGAAGAACGTCCTAGATGGAAGTATATCGATCAAATTGGCGATATGTTGAAGATGGGTCAAATTAAGAGTTTATGGGTACTCTTAATTTGCCCCATCTTCAATACGACGAAAATATATGTGCGTAGGTATAATGACGTGAAAGAGGTGAGAGAGGTGCGTCAGGATCGTACCAAACGTAGTCTCTACCTACCCCTCTGGGTAACAGGCGTGAGTGTGTATGTACGATTTAAAAGAAAAGGTAGGTTTATGAAAGTTACATTTCGGATAATTTTATCGTTATATTACAAAATCATTTATTTTTATTACATATTACACAAAACTCACTGCTCGTGAAACCCGAGACCTATTGTAACATACTCGTGTTTATTCTGAACTCATTAAGCGACCACCCTTGTAACCCATTAGGGCCGTGAAACAACTACGCTTGCTTGTTTCTATTGTTATAAAATAGCCAAAAACGATTCTCAAAATACAACCCTTTCACACGACACCCATTGGGACAAAATAGGGTGATGGGTTCGTTCCATTTCGTCGTCACTGTAGAATAATAAACACTACATAGAAAAACACAACTCTCATATAACACACGCAATTGTATTCAAGTGTTGAATAAAAACGAGAATGTTCGTAAAATGTTACAGATATGATACAGTTGAATACACTTGAATAATTCTATTCATTGAATGTTTCGCGGCAGAGCGTAATGGAAAAGAATTTGCTATGAATTCAAATTCTTTATTGAAACTTGTATAAAGAATTGTCCTTTGGGATAACTAGAGAGAAAGCTTTTAATGGACTCTTTCAATATATACCTCTTTTGAATAAGTATTAAGGTCTTTTTCAAAGGTTTCCTATTATAATTTAATGAATATATAAGTATTGCGGTATTATTACTTTTAATGGAATACTTTTTAGTATTTTTATTGAATTAAGAGTGACTAACTGAGTCCAAAAGCAACACATAAATACCTACATCTACCCTCGATTAAGAATCAAAATGCATGTATTTACGTTGTTAGAGATATAAATTTTATAATTAAGAACGCATTACTTATTTAAGATAGTTCTTGAAACCGGATGTTTTTGCGGTTGTATCTTGCTTTATAGTTAAACTAACTAAAATTTTAGAACATTAAAGTTACATGTAGATTTCTACTCAAACATATTATTGTATTGTAGCTGCCCGGAGTCAGGAAGTTGGCGGTGTCTCACCCCCGTGCCTTGGAAAGCACGTGAAGCCTAATCTCTCTCCGGTCGTATCGGTTTACCGTCCCATCGGGCTAAGAGGGTGAAGGAATGTAGAGTTCAACCTCCTGTGCTTGTCTGGCTGCCGTGACCGAAATTCGGTCTTTAGGACATTATTATTGTATTATAAAACTCTAATGAGAATTAGGAACCCTGAGAACTAAGATAGAATGCTTCGTTAAAAAGAATATTCAATACTCGTCCCTCGCCATATGAATTACGGCAGCATCATGTTGCTATTTTAAGCTGGTATTCAACAATACGATTGTGTACCCAAATTATTTACCTGTAGAAATCACTTTGCACAATTGCGTTATGTTTTGTTATTAAGATATGATTTTGTAACCTAAAATAAAATACCGTTACCAATACAGCCTTGTGTTTACTAAAGTTTAGTTATTGAATTTTTTCGATAGTGTTATAAAATATCTAAATTACACTTCTCTTCTCTATTTGTTCACGCGAGCGTTAACAGTAAAACAAATTGTTTGCGCCTGTTATAAATAAATTTAAAAATATAATGTCTGTGGAATACTTCTTGAACGTGTTGCAGCTGATGCATTTCGCTTTCCGGGTTCACTTATGACTCGGTTTACGAACGCGCGTTGAGTGATTGTGTGTTCCTAACGCAACGCATCGCATCTTATTATTTTATACCGCATATTGTGATTATGAACTTAGAAGCTGCCCTAGTGGAGTACTTCACATATACGCCAAGCCGAGGAATGCAGAGATTCGGTGAGTATTTTGCATATTTTGTCGTCGCATTCGTGAAATATTCTTCATAGGCATTCCGCATTTGCATTTTAAGGTTATATTATAATTACCGCATATCCTTATTCTTCCGAATTGATCAAATAAACTTCCAGTCCACTTGCTCTCTTCAACCATCACGTATATAGATAAGAGTTTTCCTATTAGCCTTAAATTATAATTTAAAGAAAATATATAAATTTATTAAAGAATTTTTGAGTAGTACTCTTTCCCACCAGTTGGATGAAGGATAATGCAATATAGAGTATTCTAACGACAGAGCACTTTGTATGAACTATTTATATTTATACGTAATTGATTTTATGTCGGCTTTGAGAAATTTTATTAAATGGTTTACCAATGCCGTACACCCGATTAAACTTTTTGTCGGATCCCGACATCCGCATCCTCCCGCTATCGCTGCCAAACTACCAAAATATACCTTCCAAAATATAACCAATCCTTATACTTGTAACACTTACCTTAGCAATTTTGTGTAGCAATGCCGTAGTGGAGCTGGTTTTGAAGAGGCCAAGTGCTCGCCTCCGGAGCCCTTGTCCAAGGCAAGCCTCGACAGCGCCGCATAGTGCAGTCACGCCGCCGCTGTCCTCGTGGACGAACTTGCGTGTGACAGCCTATCATAAATTATAATTTTGAATTTTTACTTAGTGCATAAATAACGACCGTGTGCTGACGGTATAAGAATATTCTCTATGTCGTCCCGTAGGTATCGTAAGAGGCGACCAAGGGAAATAAACCAGAAGATGGGCAGTAGCGTATTCTTTATTCAGTTATTTTTCTTCATTCTTTATTCAGTTATTTCCGTAGCGTTATTCTAATTCCAAAAAAAAAGAAACTATGGCAAATATGTACCATTTTATCTTATAGCCGTAAGGGGGCAAGTATGTAAAACCAGAATGCCTCCAATAGATAGATGGAGATATGGCACCTTGTAATGATGTCATATATCCAAACAAGCGACAACACCATGAAGTTGGCATTTCCCATTGAAGCCATTTGCGTCACACCTAAGATTTGAGAAAGATACACAGATCATAATTCAATTCCAGGTTGCATTATGTATGCAAAAATATTATATTATAAATTTTATTATAATATAAATTTTCATATACCTACGCGTGTATGCGTAGGTATATGGATGTGGCGGAAGCGAGAAAGGTGTGTCAGGATCGTGCCAAATGGAAGTCCATAATCTCTGCCTACCCCTCTGGGTGACAGGCGTGAGTGTTTACATGACACTGAAAACTGCTTTATATTTTAAATATTAGGAAGTATTAGGTCATTAACTATGTATTTTTTTTTATATATGGCTAATTAGAAGTGCTACGTCTTGCAACTTATTTAGAATTTCAAATACGTAATAAAATTTGTGTTCCATTGTGGAAACAATACTTCACGTACGTATGATATACGTAGTACGAATGTATAGTCGTCATACTGAACACGTACCACAAATAAATGAAAATGAAATTTGATTTGATTGCCTAAATTTTAAAAATGTCAACCTTAACAACGAGCTACGTGGACGACTGGAGAGTAAAATCAATACAAACGAATTGAAATATTTAATGGAAGCGGATTGATTTCAAACCACGTCAGATTTTAATCATCTTGAGGATTCGTTTGTATGAAATTGGGATTATTCAGAAACTCGAAAAATGGATTACTACAAGAAATTCTTAATGAAAGTAATTTTTTTTTTTACTTTTACCACTGATTCGGAATAAAACTCTGTCCTGGGAAGAATTATTAAGAAACTCGAAAAATGGTATTGAATAGAGTAGAATAGAATCATTTATTATTCAATATAGATTACAACAAAAAATTCTTATTGAAAGTCATTTTTTTTTACTTTTACCACTGGTTCGGAAAAAACCTCTGTCCTGGAAAGAATTATTAAGAAACTCGAAAAATGGTATTGAACAGAGTAGAATAGAATATTTATTATTCAATATAGATTACGAGGGCGGCACTGAAAATTTCGGGAATCAAGGAAGTGACACAACATTACTATTTAAAAATGTATTTATTGTTTTTCGGAGTATTCTCCGCGAAATTTGACACATTTTTCCATACGATGGAACCAATCATTGAAGCAACCATTCCATTCGGAAGTTGGGGTCTCCAAAATGGCCGTTTTGTATACGTCCACAGCTTCTTCAGGTGATGAAAATCTCTGTCCACGCAATTTATTCTTTATTTTAGGGAAAGTATAGAAATCATTAGGGCTTAGGTCGGGGCTGTACGGCGGATGGTCTAATAATTCTATGTTTTCTTGCTCTAAAAACTCTTTTGTTCTGTGTGCGGTGTGAGAACTCGAATTGTTGTGATGGAGGATGATGCGGCGGTTGCAGTTCTCTTTACGGAGTTCAGAAACGACCTGTGGCAAATAAATGCTAGCATACCATTCTGCATTAACCGTTCTTTGTCCCTCAAGAAGAATAGTCGTAACATGGCCGGTTTTGGAGACAAACGTGGCCACCATTTTTTTTGCAACACTCCGTGAACGCACAATTTTTGTTGGCTTTAACTCATTTTCGAACACCCAAACTCGTGACTGGTTTATTGTTTCAGGTTCGTACGCGTATATCCAGGATTCATCACCTGATACGATATTGTATACAGCATTTGAGGATCTTGCGTGGAATCTTTCGAGAGTTCTGATGCACCAAGTAACGCGAGCCGCTTTTTGCTCTTCACAAAGCGAATGCGGTATCCATCGGAAAACAACTTTTTTACACCTAATTGTTCATGCAAGATTATTTGTATTTGACTCACGTCAATTTCTAAAGTTGCCTGAATTTCGCGGTATGTCACATGTCGATCTTCCTCAATCAGCTTTCCCACAGCATCAACGTTTTCTTGGGTGACTGCAGTTTTTGGACGACCTTGATGGGGATCATCACTGAGCTTGACACGTCCACGTTGAAATTCAGCAAACCAGCGATAAATTGTGGTTTTGGATGGGGCTTCATCACCAAATGCAGAAATCATCCGGTCAACACACTGTTTTTGTGTTAAACCACTTCGAAAGTCATAATAAATCATCGTTCTTGAATTTTCTCGAGTCAATTCCATTTTCTCAACGACTAAACAAGTTTGACAAAACCTTGTGACAAGACCGAGAATCTTTTTAAAAAATAAATAAATGGTATTCAATTTTAAAAAACCAAGGACTTTTCAATTAAAAAGATTTTAATATGCCAGGAACAGTGGAAATATTCCATTCCCGATACTTTTAGTGCAGCCTATGTACTACAAGAAATTCTTATTGACAGACATTTTTACTTTTACCACTGGTTCGGAAAAAACCTCTGTCCTGGAAATAATTATTAAGAAATTCGAAAACTGGTGTTGAATAGAGTAGAATAGAATCATTTATTAGTCAATATAGATTACTACAAGAAATTCTTAATGAAAGTAATTTATTTTTACTTTTACCACTGGTTCGGAAAAAAAACTCTGTCCTGGAAAGAATCAGCACCGTAAGTTGGTACCGTATGAATTTACTGAAAATCAGTAGCAACCGCGCATCGGAACTTGTTTTAATTTGTTAAATCGGCAAATAATTTAGGGGATTCTTAATCGGGTCACTGTGACAAAAAGTGGATACTGTATGATAAACGTAAAACGTTAAACGAAATCATGTCCGAAACGAAAAAAAGTCAAAAGAACTTTTTGAGATCTGACATACAATAACTGCAGACGGTTTTCAAGAATTGCAATCGGTCATGGATAAACTCGCTATGAAATTACAAGTGCCCTATTTCACTACGACAACGCTCGAGAACACACTGCACAATGGACTGTCTCAAATTTAAGAGCTCCTACTGGGTATTTTCCGATATGTACCGTATACGCCAGACCATGTTTTTTTTTTTAATTTGGTTTTCTTTTTACGGGAAATAAATTTCATCTATATCTACAAATAAATAAAATTGGAGTATCTGTTTGTAACGTCAATATAACAACTTTTTACTACATGCATTTGAAATTATATACGGTACTTATAACAAAAACACAATTTTTTAAATTTTTGTCTGTCTGACTGGTTTGTCTTTCTTGTTTGTCTGTCTGGTCACGTCTGTCACGATAGGCAGTCCAGCAGTGAACTGCCTTGAACTGATAGAAAATAAGTATATATTTACCACGTTTTTATTAAGTCACTTTCTTGTTTTTCTGTCTTGTTTGTTCCGGCTAATCTCCGTAACGACTGAACCAATTTTGACAGGACTTTCACTGGTAGATAGCTGATGTTATAAGGAGTAACTTAGGCTACTTTGATTTCATAAATAGAATTAGGGTTCCGCGCAAAAGAATTAAAACCAATGAAATCCAATCGTAATAAATTACACGCGACGACGTCGCGGGGAACAGCTAGTCTCCAATAAGAATAAAAGCTCCATAAAAGAATTTCTAATATTTAAAACGCTTCAATTAATTAAACATATAATTTACATTAAGAAAATGTGTGAACTGTCTAAAAAGGACATTTTATAATGCTCAGATAATTTTTAGATACTAATGACATTTGAAACGAAGTTCCTTATCGGAATGTACGGGTTTGACAGATGAGAGCTAGGCGACAAAAAGTGTAAGATTTTTTCGTCACTACCCATAGATTACTGTATATATATTAGAGATAGATGCGCGACTCAAATTTAATTTTTGTTAGTGTCGTGCTTTGCCGAACAGATGGCGCTTAATTCTTACAAAAAAAAAGGGAAAAGTAAACACATCTGCTGGACTCGAACCGGAGTCTTTGGGTTTCGGGACCACCCGGTTACCCACCTAAGTTATTATAACCTTGTACATAGTGGTGATATTTACCTTCGTATTCTAATGATATTTTAGCAGTTTTTCATTGCCTGAAAACACAGATAAAACGGCATTTTCAAAAAATAAATAATGTTCAATAAATATTAATAACAATTTAAGCGTAATTACCAGTGACCGCTACTAACTGCGAAGTGCGCATGGATCATTGCGTATGCATAGACCTAATATATAAGTGTGCCCTCTAGTGAGATTAAAATAAGTCTAGCCTAGCACTTCGGAATGTAGATGGAAGCACATAAAACGTATCATTTTGTTCGTAAAATAATGTTCTAAGTTGCATGCCCATGTCACTACACCTTGTGTCATAGTGTATTTTATTTTAAATGTCGCTTCATTTTAATAGACGCTAGTAATACATTTATTTGTATTTGTTAATCAATAATATAATACGTTTATTAATAATAAGGAACGTCGTTCCAACCGAGTGTTCCACGACACTCCCACGTTTTTTTTTATATAGAAGGGGAGGCAAACGAGCATACGCTTCACTTGATGGTAAGTGACCATCGCCCATGAACATCTGCAACACCAGATGAATTGCAGGTGCATTGCCGACCTTTTAAAAGAGAATAGGCTCCCAATGTCGCATCGGTCTGGAAATACTACTGGCGACAGTAACTTCCACAATATGATCGTGCGCGACAAAAGTAATTCATGTGAAAAGATATTCTATTTTATTATAAATTAAAAAATTGATCTTTAAATATTATTTTAATATAACCGATCCACCCCGGCTTCCCACGAGCGATTTCTGGATTTTGACAACAGCACCACCTACCGGGTCATATTGTGAATTTAAACCACCCAAGGACGCAAACAAAAAATTTCATCATAATCGTCCATGCCGTTTTCGAGTATTAGCAAGAATAACGGACAGCAATTGATTTTTTATTTAGAGATTAACTTAAAAGTTACAGCCTATATACGTCCCACTGCTGGGCACAGGCCTCCTTTTTTTACTTATTTCTTAGATATGCAGGTTTCTCACGATGTTTTCCTTCGCCTACGAACACGTGGTAAATCAGTACTTAAAATTGCAATTAACAATTTCATTGGTGACGGCGGGCATCGAACCCGGGTTTCACGCGTACTGTGAAATTTACAGCGAGCGCTAACCATCTGAGCTACCAAGAGGTTAGTAAGGTAGAATTTAGCCACTAAATATCTATTTTATATCTCTTTGCGTGGTTGCGGCGTAAAAGAATCCATCCCTTGGGTGTCGTAAAAGTTTTCTTTACAAATTGCGTCGATCTTATAGCTGATGGAATCAACAAAAGTTACATAAAACAACATCAATGACAACATCTAATTGTGTACCAGACCGATATATTAACACTGGCAACCTCAAAAAGAAAACAAGGATAAGTTTCATAAGGTTGAAATGTTTATTGAGGTTACATAATTATATGTATAAGCATTGGCGGTTATAAAATTTTTTCAAATGTGGAAAAGACCTACAGGGTTATTTTGCAGTATACACCCAAATTTGCCGCGAAGGTTCAGAGTAAGTAATATAAGCGAATAGTAAAGAAAAATTCATTACAAAAAATCTCAAACATCCTTTTTATCTTTTAAATTCACAGTGCGTGGTAATGCATTATTTTAACTAGTTGTCATTCATAAGTATCTAAAGCCTACTATTTTACTACGCACGCATACATTCGTAAGGGTCGCTCGGTCTACAAAAGAAGAAGCTTTATTTACTCGTATTTTCAAAAACTGCCATAACGGTATATCATTATTTATATATTTTAACATAAATATAAAATTTGGATACTCTTTAAAAAGTAACTCTATATAATCAACCGTGGACAATTTGATGATAATTATGATGTTTTTATACTAAGCGAACCATAATAAAAGATTAAATTAACCCCTTACATACCTTTTTCTCAAAGTTGTTATCCTTAGTTACCCATAATAATATAAGATGTATATGTTACGATTAATTATAAAACTACACAAAGCAATCTATCAAGAAAAAAAAATATATCATTGTTTTTGTTCTGTTCTTTGTTGTTTTTTTTTTAAAAGCCACTTAATTTTAATTAACCTAGGGCAAGTAGTAAGGTAGAAAAGAAAATGTAGCTAGATCTAATTTTAAAGATGATAATTAAAAATTAACCAAGTGTTTGTTGGGACATGCACATATCTTAAATATTTTCTTAAATATGGAAGCTACACTAGCCGACTTGTAGTTTTTTAATTCCGTATCTTAAAAAGTCGAGGGGCAGAGAGAGATACATTGCAGACTACTTTAAAGCTCGACGTTTGTGGATCCTCTTTTTTACCATTTATTTTAATAATACATTACGATACAAGAAACTTAAGTAGCTGAGTATTAAAGCGTGTGAAATGGTTTCGACCAACATCCTTAGTCAAAAATACTTTTGCCCGATTATTCGCAGTCAAAAGTGGTTTTAACCGATTATGAGTTTTAACTGTAACATTTGTAATTTAAAGTATTTTATTAGATGTTACTAATTAAAGTTCTATTGTTCTGTATTTATTATCTATTATGTTTCAATAAATGTTTAATAAATTTTATGACTTAAGTAAAACATACCGTACAAAAATCGGCTAATTAAGTCCCGCATGAGCGTGACCTAAACATGGTTATAAGTCACCATGTACTCTAAAAGACCTTTCTAATCGCCAACACTAACACGAGGGAATGAGGTAATCGCTACCAAGCTATTTCTAATTTTTTTTGTGGTGTTAATTGTATAACAAATTAAATTATTGTAAACTATTCTTTTTATGTCCCGTTGCAAAAGCTGCATTGTGAATGTAGTCTCTCTTACATAGGACAAACAAAAAGATCGATAAAAACCCGCGTGAAAAAACATATCGCTGATGTGAAGAATAGACGCTACGGGAAATTAACAGTCAAGTCAGTATGTCAACATGTTCAGAATCGTCCCAACCACTATATCAGATTTGATAGACCACAAATCCTCGCAAAAGAATACCGATTCCTACGAAGAATGACTCGCCAGGCTATTGAAATTTAAAAAAATATCTTAATTTCAATAAAGAAGAATTAATAAAATTAAATCCAAACCCAAACATACTACTGCAAGAATTCAAGATACTGTAAGCTCGTTCTGCGTAGATCGAACCAAAAATTAATAATTAAAAGTTAAAGGTAGCCTTCGTTTAATATGACATTAGAACATCAAACACCTCAGTCCCCCCCCCCCTGTGACCATGGGTTCCGGAAAGTGCCCGATACGTCGGAATTAAAAAAGTTAAAATTAAACGTGATAAAATCCGTAATCCGTATTCCATGTATAATATTCGCGTAAATATAAGAAATCATTATATATATATAACATGTAACAAAAACCCTGTGGTTCCCGTTAAGTACGTTATCAGGATCAGTATTCAAACCTATAGAAATAACTTTTTTTTAAAAAACGACCATATTATTTATATTCTTATTTTTTATTTTGTGTGGTTTTATTACCATTTACTGACACTAGCCGTTGCTAAAGCTAAGTAAAGCGGGGTCTTTGACAATCCTCTTACTCCCCAGACAATGCCACCATACAATTTGCATACAATTATTTTTTTAAATAAAATTAAAAAAATATTGTTCAAGTTTTTAAAAAAAATATTTCTATACGTTTGAATAATGATCCTGATAACGTACTTAATGGGGAAAAAAACACCACAAAAACCCTGTGGTTGCATAAATATCTGTTTTCTTTTTTTAACGCTTGCATACCTCTTCCATTAAATGCTTGACTTCCTTCTTCACCGCTGCTATGAGACGATCCTTCTGCTCAGTGCTGGGGTCTGTGGTGGTTGCAGCCGGCATCTCTTCAGTTTCACTTTCAACTGCAATAGATGATACATTTTAAACCACATATTTAATATAATACACACAACTTTGTCTACCTCTATATTAAACACATTTTTTTCCTAACCCCACAATATATCTGAAACAGTTGAGTATTTAATTCATTGGAACAGCAACGTTTTCTTACAGCCTAACACGGATCATAATACGAGTATTCGGGTAGGAATTTTAAACAAGTAATTTATTGATGGATTAGGTTGACAAAGTACTCAGTCCACCTGTTGGTAAGTGGATGCTGTGACCTATAAACATCTATTCTCGATTAAGAATCAAAATTCAAATGCGTTGTTACCGCTGCGGAATAATATGGAATGCCTCGTTTCCAGTTAAAAGGATCTCTGATACTCCACATTCACCATACGAAACCCAGCAGTATATACCTCTCTAACACTTTTCCTTTCAATTGCCCGAATTAACTTAAAACGTAAGCGTAGTGGCGGTGTAAGAATATCCACTATCCCATATCATGTTCTCGTACAGGCGACAGAGAGAAAAAATCAGGAGATGGGCTGCAGCATCTTCGTAATAACGACTAACAATAAAAAACTGCGCTTACAAACCCGCTTGCCTAGCGTGAACACTATGGCAAATATCCCCCCTATGAAGCAATCTATGGGGGAGGCCTATGGTCTACAGTGGACTTTAATAGGCTGTAACGGTAAGTGTAACGCGATTAAACTTACACAACTTTTTTTTAATTTATTCAAAATATTTAAAAAAACAAAATGAACTTTTTTTTAGCCCTACAGCGGAAACCACACACTGCTTAGTTGCTGTGGTCTATTAACTATAAACTATTATCTTATATTAAAACTATTATTGATAATAATGGTAGATTTATATATTTATTAACTAATCGTTTAATCACTAAGTATATTATTAATATGTAAATTTGAGATAAAGCAGGTATAAACACATTAGATTAGGCAATTTACAGTAATTATGTTATCATTTAAGATACTATTAATATATTATACTAACTTATAATAATACAAATACACATACCATACCGACCATCTAGTTATTTAATTAGAAACTCTTTTAGTGTTCTTTTAGTTATTTTTACTTTATAATATTTTACTTTATACTAAACCATTAACCATTGTTATTTACATTACATATTTCGAACGTACCGTTGAAAATATGTAATGTAAATAACGTTAAATATAATAAGGATATCGAATAAAATATTCTTGAAAAAAGAGAGCCGCGTAACGAATGTCCTATTTCTCAACGATCGTGAAAATACTATCAAGTTATGACACCGTTAAGGCGAGGTGTATAGACAACTTTTATGTATTTGAGGGGGTGAAGCAGATGAAGTAGGGGACGAGTAGTCCCGCCCACTGCGGGGTGCACACCGCGTGAATCTCGCCGACTCTCGACGTAAACTAAAATGTACAATCGGTCCAGCATGCCGCTGTCCGCCTTTGCACCGCGTTTCCGTGAACGTCCGGTGGTTCGAATCCCATGAGACGTATATTTTGTATTCGTATTTTTAAAATGTTTCTACATTTATTTTCATATTTAAAATATGTATATATTTTTGTTTTCTTATTTTTAAAATATGTATATATTTTACTTTCTTAATTTTAAAATAATCAATAATTGTTATTTTCTAGAAAAAGTTATCGAGAAATTTTGTAACGGATTCATCAAATGAATAATAAATTAATTCTTAAATAAAATGACTTTGTACCAGAATGGTCAATCATAGAAATGGCCTATTCTCGAAACAGCAAATTGTAAAAATTGTGAATTTATAAAAACAATCATTTTTATTCCTTTAGACATATTTTGCTTCAGAATCAATAGTAAACCATTATGAACAAATTTTACTATAGTGCATGCCCTAAAATAAAAAAAAACAGCTGTTTCATAATTTTTTTCCCGAGTTAATAACTTTTTTGCATAAAACGACACATTTTGGGGATTTGTGTTATTTTTAAGTTATTTGGGTTATTTGAAGAATACATAAAAATTAAACAAACTAATTATTTTAATATAATTTAATTACGAGTATTTTGATGTATTTACACATACGGAGCGAAATATAAATATATAAATTGTGGGAAGAAAAATAATTCAAATCACAACTCTTCAAAATTCAGTCTTCTACTACAACAAGCGACGTTTCCTTTGTTGTCGTCATTTGATGTGACTACTAATGACGATTCTTTTTCTCGCAGTGGCATTCCACGCGCTCGCCGAGAATCGACTATTTCAGGCAAAAGCCAGGTCATGAAAAATGACACCAGCTTTTCCTTCATCTTTTTTTCCCAAAAATCGTCATCTCTTTTTATAATTTCTATTTTTAGTGGCTTTTTATCACCGCTCCACACAGCAAACAAGCATTTTTCTCTACGTGTTATGTGGAGCTGCCCTTGAATTTGATAGTACCAATTACTATTTTTGTTCACTCCAATCAGTTCACGTTTTTTATTATATTTCCATATCTGTATTTTGTTTTCCTTTATACATTCTTCTAGACCATTTTTGAACGCCACTAAAGGACATTTCACTTCAACTACTGTGTCTTCGCCTATCAAACCATCGGACGTTGCTCCAAGAAAGGCAAATTCGTGGTCCACAAACAACCCGCTCGGCTCAATGGTGACATTTTCTTGGATGGCAAGTTGTTGTAAAGCGAGATGTTCATTTTCGACGCCATGTGCGATTGCCGCTATATTACCGAGATTAAATTTATATAAAATATTTTCCACTAACTTGGATTTGCTAGTAGTCTCTCTTCTTTTCACTAATAATCCAAAATTCGATGCTGTTAGCATATTTTTTCGTAGTTCTACCCAGTCATCGCTATCTTTCTGATTTATAGTAGATATTTGTATTTTTTCTTTGTCTGAAGTTAGTTGTTTTAGATTTTGAAGGAACGATTCTTTAGCGGCATTTAATTCATCCAGTGTGAAATCTGGAGTAGTACTCTGAGCCCCATAATCATGTTGAACAGCATTTTCTTTCTTTAGCATCCGATTTTTTTTATGAAGATTTGCTTTGCATAATTTTCTTTTCATCATTCTTCGTTCTTCAAACTTTTTTAGGATGCTTTTGGGACTTTTCCCTAAAATTTTTTTATGAAGTAGATGTCTTGGGTGGGAGTTATTAAAAGAAACGACTGCAGCATTGCAACGCGCGCTGTAACCCCGACGAAGAGAGAAATTAATTCTCTTTCCTCCCACAAACTTTGCAATCACACTGTTGAAGCGCTCTACTGCATTGGTATCCACGTCTTCAAGCATGCTTCTTGATTTTAAAAGTAATGACTGGAGTATTGTCTGTATCCTGAACCAAAAAATTGTGTTTTTTATTTCCATATTACTTTGTTGTGTCTTTTCCTTAGAACAGTAATAGTTCTTGCAATTTTCAGGATTCCCGAAAGCATGTAGAATAGAATTTTGTATTTCGTTCCTAAAACTTGCTACTGCTTCCGTATTGTCTTTTTCTGGCTTATACTCTTTTATGGTTATGTAAATATGTTTATATAAATATGGTTTTATGGTTTCGGCATTCAACTTTTTGAACGGTATGATTCTGGTAAGGATTACGCGCCAAGATTTTCGCATATGTAGCTGAGTCGCCGTCAGCAATTATCCTGCCATAAATAACATTGTACATCGATACAGATGTTTCAAATCCTTGGCAAATTATTTCGGACACCATTCCGCTAGATGCCCCCGTGTAGTTTTTGAAGCAAACGTGTTCTGGTGCAGCAATGTGTTTTTTCTCTGCACGAGCACATACAAGGCAGTATTTGTTTCTAATACCTAGAAACAACACTTCACCATATCTGCGACCTACGATTGCTGCACCGCCGGACAATGCCTTATAATTATTTCCGTAGGATCGCGATGACCAACAGCCGTCGGCATATACGTCTATTAGATGTATGCCATCTTTGCTCAATGTTCCTTGAGCTAGCGCTGCATCACGCTCACGCATAGCTGCTGCCGCCATGGATTCGACAGATGTTGACTCCCATTTTTCGTAAACTTTGTTTTGAACTTGAGCATAAGTTTTTTTCGTAAATATGGGTATGTCCATACATGCTGTAATTTCTTCAAATTGCGAAAAACCGATACCAGCAGAAGTAATTCCTGTAACGGCACCCACGTTAGTGTTGACATTATGTATACTCGATAAATCTTCGCTTGTGACAATAAAGACGTCTTTACACATATTGCATCTAAACTTGAATGTGGAGATCAAGCCAATCCTTTTTTCTCCTATGAGTGATAGTTGTGAGAAACCGCAATTGAACAAAGAACTGTGGCCGGATATAGTTTGAAGCTGCTTGATAAAATACATAATGTCAACGACTCTTCGACCATGAACTGGTGGGTATATATTATTTTCTTGAGCTTCGGTCAACGGTTCATCGAATAGCACATCGCCAGTGATTTCTCTGAAATAAAAAAACGTGTTATTTTTTATTTTATTATAAAGAAAAAACAAATCATGACTGGTGGGTATATATTATATAATTGAGATTCCGTTGACGAATAAAAAAACGACATTTTGTTTTATTTTATTACAAATAGAGCCGTGGTAGCTCAGATGGTTAGCGCTCACTGTAAGTTCCACATTACGTAAGCAACCCGGGTTCAATCCCCGTTGGCACCAATGAAATTGTTAATTGCAATTATAAGAGCTGATTTACCACGTGCTCGTCGGTGAAAGAAAACATCGTGAGGAAACCTGCATATCTGAGAAATAAGAAAAAAATATTTCGAGGACATGTGAAGTTCGTAAATGAATTAGGGCAGCGCGGTGGATATTTCCTTGCCCAAAAACCCTCAGAAATGAAAGGAGGCCTGTGCCCAGCGGTGGGACGTATATATCATCAATATCATTATCATTTATATATGCTGTAACTACTTTTAGTCATGGCAGGTACGCGGTGTGTACAAATACAATACGTGGACAAAAAAGTGGGTGTAGAC